AATCTCTTTCAAAAGTCCCTGGATGATCTTTCTACACTCTGACTAATTGGGATTGCTCTTGTCATGCGGTTGTGTCATTCTGTAGGGTTAGCACTCATCTGTCCTCATATGTGGGAACTCACTGAGGGTGGGAGCCACATGCACCCCTCTCTTTGCTCTTCCCCCAATTCCCAGCATTTCCCAAATGGTGGCTGATGGCTGCCTGGTGGTTGAGTGAGGAAGCGATGCTTGTCTTCTCCAGAAGCCCCCACCGTACCTGCTTCTTGACATGGTCGATCTCGGATCTCAGCCTCTGGATCATGCGGTTGATCTCAGCAATCTCCTGCTTGGTGTTGCGCAGATCATCCCCGTGTCTACCTGCGGTGACCTGCAGCTCTTCATACTGCAGTCCAGAGGGAGAGAAAGAGGTGCATGTGGGTTTTCACATGCTAATGGTGACCTGACTTCTCACTCTGGCATTGAACACACCCAGAGCTAGTGACGTCTCACCAAGGCATTTTAGAGGAAGTTGACGGGGCAAGGTCACTGAATACTGTACACTGATCACAGACCCTCTTTTTAATGGAATGCTGGCTGCCTAGTTCAGTTGGAGGCCAGCAATGTTCTGTATTATGTTTCCAAGGGAGCCGACTCAGGGTGAAGACAAAAGCAAGGATCACTAGATCCCTATCTTTGTAGCTAGCCTCCTGCAGCGGGATTCTTTGACTTACTCAAAAAGCACATAAATTCTGTGAATGCCTGCTCTGTGAGTGCAGGGTTCACACCTGTGAGAAATCATCAGCTTCCTTGAGGTGATTTTCCCAGCGAAGGGGGTAGGCTTGCTGGTGTCTAGGAAGAGGACACAGGCAATCCTGGGCACCTGTCAACTCAAGGCTCACCTTGCTCTGGTACCAGGACTCAGCCTCAGCCCGGCTCTTCTGAGCGATCTCCTCATATTGGGCTTTGACTTCAGCGATGATGCTGTCCAGGTCCAGGTTACGGTTGTTGTCCATGGACAGGACCACGGAAGTGTCTGAGATGTGGGTTTGCATCTGAGCCAGTTCCTGCAGAGCATAAGATCATCAGATCATCTTTCCCTTGGCCTTACAGACGTACCCCACCCCAAGATCCTCCACCCTTGGCAGAGCCCCTTCACAACAAAAAAAGAGGAGTGGGGATGCTTACTGCTTCATACAAGGCTCTGGTGAAGTTGATCTCATCCATGAGAGCATCTACCTTGGCTTGCAATTCAACCTTATTCATGTAGGCAGCATCCACATCCTGGGGAACAAGCCAACACCTTGGAGTCAGCTGAGCCTTCCTTCCCAGTCTGAACACCTTTTAGTCTCCCCATCGACTCCCCTCTTGGATGTGTGCAGGGCCCAAGAGTCCTTTCTTTCTAGAAAGGAACACGAACCCCTGATCTTCAGCAGCTCACCTTCTTCAGAGTCACAAATTCATTCTCTGCTGCTGTGCGCTTGTTGATTTCATCTTCGTATCTAGACACAGAAGAGGGTAAGACATAATTGAGCCAGTGGCAAGGATGATACAGAAAAAGTGTCCTGGAATCCCAACTTTCCATAAGAGAGATATACCCAAAAAGAGCTTCCTGCCAGTGAGCCACAAAAATGATTTTTGGGGGTCCCTAAATTGTTTTTATCTTGTTCTCTCCCCATGCACCTCTATGGCCTTTTTGCTATTTTGGGGTTGTTTTCGGCAACAATTGTGAGTTTCATTTCCATGAACATGTTTTGCTACGGAATCAGGCCCACATCTTGACCTAGTCACCCAATAGTCTTGATGTGTGCACTTCAGGGAATGGAGCCCTTTCTGTCCTTGTGCTCACTTGTTCTTGAAGTCCTCCACCATGTCCTGCATGCCCCTGAGCTCTGTGTCCAGGCGGCCCCTCTCCCCCAGGATGCTGTCTAGCTGTCTCCTGAGGTTGTTGATGTACTGCTCAAACAAGGGCTCCAGGTTCTGCCTCACGGTCTTGGTGCCCTGCTCCTGGAGCAGAGTCCACTTGGTGTCCAGGACCTTGTTCTGTTGTTCCAGGAATCGCACCTGGAAGAAGACAAGATTGTTATTTGCCACAGAAAGCCAGGGAGAAAGAGATGTAACCTGACAGGTGCCCAGGCACTTTGGGTAGTCGCCCAGGTTGGGCTATTACAGACCATGTACAGAGGGTCAGGCTGACAGTGTTGCACCCCCAACCCTATTTCGTTCCAACCTCACTGGTCTTAGTGTGAAGTTCTTCCATGGACCTGTGACATCTTCTCACCAACTAAGCTATTTGGCCTAGCAGTGTCTTTCAACATTTCTTCTCTTTTTATCGAAAAGCACAACCACACATCTAGTTAAAAATATTTCTGGGGTGCCTGGGTGGCTCATTCAGTTAAGCTTCTGATTTTTGATCAGAGGTCATCATCTCAGTGTTGTGAGATCTAGCCCCTGTCAGGCTCTGTGCTATCTCTCTACCTGTAACCCTCTCCTATTCTCTCTTTCAGTTTCTCTCTCTCTCTCTCTCTCTCTCTCTCTCAAAATACTTAAATAGACATTTAAAAACATAGTATTTCTCTGTTACAAAGTGGAAAGTTATATTTAAATTGTACTTCAGGTAAAAGACTGTTAAATGTGCAGAAACTAGTGATTTAATGCAATTCAGTTAATTACTGGATTCCATTAACTTCTGCTTTAGTGCATGATTGCCCTGTATAACAAATGCCCTAATGGTCATGCTCTAGTTCTACACATTTTGCATTTCTATATTTATGTAAATGTTTGTGAGACTTTTTTTCTAATTCAGCCAGAAATCTTTTTCTTCTTTCTATCTTTATGTAAATATTTCTGACCCTTTTTTTAATTCATTCAGAAATCTTTTTCTTTTCTTTCACCTCTTTCCTCATGTCCAGAACCCTAGAACAGTTTTCCACTGGAATTATTATCTAATCTCTTAGAGTATTCAGCAGGTAAAGCTGACCGATTCTATTCTCTCATTGCCTTATTT